GGAGCAGGGATATTATAGGTTGCACTGAAGGGGGGCTCTGGTGGTTCACTAGACTACTCCCTCCACTTTAAGAAGTGTTGTACTACTTCAAAATGGAAGTCTACTTGAGTTTTTTAATGTGTTGGTTTGTTTTATCTTGTAATGTTTCGAGTTTGTTTTATAGTTCAAAAACAGTTCAGGTTTGGTCACCTCTAACATGTCCTTCACCTACCTGTGTTAACTGTGGGATTAAATGCAATGTCAGGAATATAGGGTAGTTACCCTTAATGTAAATGGCTTACACAATCCAATTAAAAGGGGCAAGGTTATTGCAAAGATGAAAAGGGAGAAACCGCATGTAGTATTCTGGCAGGAGACCCATCTCAACCGAATTGAACATGAAAAGTTAAAAAAATATGGTTTTAGAAATACATTTTACTCATGTTGTAAGAAAGGGAGAAAAAGAGGGGTAGCAATACTGATTCCAAATAGAGTGAATTTTCGAGTGGTTGCTGAATTCTGTGATAAAGAGGGTCGGTATGTATTTGTTAAGGGGTTCCTTGAACAGAAAGAAGTTACACTAGTTAATGTGTATTTACCACCTGGCCAGGATAATTCCTGTATAAGAGAAATTTTTGATTTGATTGCCTCTGAAGCCACTGGAGTTTTAATATGTGGAGGAGACTGGAATATCCAGCTACAATGTAAGCTAGACTCCTCTAACACATTAAATGGACCTGCTCCCACACTAGAGTAATGAAGAATATGTTGACAGAGCTCGGGATGATTGATGTATGGAGGGAGCTCCACCCAACAGAAAGACAGTACACATTTTACTCAGGAAGTCACAGAGTGCACTCAAGAATTGACTATTTTTTTTACATATAACTCAGACAGACACAGACTCAAGGAATGCAGTATAGGGATTCGAGATGTCTCTGACCATTCGCCTGTTTATCTAACCCTGCACCTAGACAATAAAAAGAAAAACACGTTGTGGCGACTTAATACAAGTATCTTAAATGATAACACATGTAGGAATTATGTACGAAAGGAATTTAAAGACTACATGGATAACAACAATAATGGGGAAGTATCACCAAGTGTTTTGTGGGACGCTGCTAAGTCAGTGATCAGAGGAAAGCTTATTGCCTACACATCACATAAGAAAAAGGAAAGAGATAAAAAGCTATCTGATCTACAAGAAAATCTGAAAGTGTTAGAGAGGGAACATGTTGAAGGGAAAGATCCCCACATTCTAAATAAAATCAACACCATCAAAAAGGAATTAAATGGACTCTATGAGAAGGAAATAGAGAAAAAAGCCAAGTTCGTTAAGCAGAGATATTATGAGAATGGCCCTAGGGCCCTGAAGCTCCTGGCATGGAGGCTAAGGAAGCAACAGGCAGAGAGTTCCGTATTTGAAATTAGAGACCCTAGAACTAAAAAAGTGTGCCACAAATTAGAGGACATACAACACATTTTTGAAAACTACTACAGAGAACTATAGAGGGAACCAAATACAACTAGTCCTCAGGAAATAAATACATTTCTAGAATCACTAGATCTACCCTCCATAGGTGAAGAACAGAATAAAGCCCTAACGGCAGATATTAGAAATAGAAAAAGTGATTTCTAAGTTGAAGGCCAATAAAGCGCCGGGAACGGATGGTTTCCCAGCCGAATGGTATAAGGCCTTTAAAGAGCAAATAGTGCCTATACTTTTGGACTGCTTTAACCACAGAAGGGGATCCACCAAGAACATGGAGGGAAGCAATAATTTCAGTTATTCATAAGGAGGGGAAGGATAAAAAAGAATGTAGTGCATATAGACCAATTTCTGTACTGAATATTGATTATAAGCTGTACGCGTCAATACTGGCTAAAAGACTAGAACATATAATACCAGACCTAGTGGATCCAGATCAAACAGGCTTTGTGCGTGATAGACAGACGCGAGACAATATTAGACGGGTGCTGCACATACTTGATCATGTGACTAAGGGGAATAACAGAGCTGTAGCACTCAGTCTAGATGCCGAAAAGGCGTTTGACTCGGTTCGCTGGGAGTACTTATATCTGACGCTGAGAAGATTTGGATTTAAAGATGACTCGATTAGATGTATTAAAACACTATACTCCTCTCCAGATGCCAGAATAAAAATTAACGGACATCACTCACAGCCCATTGAGCTGGAGCGAGGCTGCCGTCAAGGCTGTCCTCTCAGTCCAGCTCTTTTCTCGCTATTTATCGAACCCTTAGCACAGTCAGTTAGGGATGACCTGGCAATAAAAGGAATAATGGTCAGTGGCTTGGAGCAAAAGATTTGCCTATATGCGGATGACGTGTTATTGCTTATAACAGCGCCAGAGCTCAGCATCCCTAGGTTGATGTCTACACTGAAAAACTTTGGAACCTATTCTGGATATAAATTAAATGTGCAAAAAAACCCGAATTTTATGTTATAATTACACTCCTCAGAAAGACATGCTAAATAAATTTGATTTTAAATGGAATTCATCAGAAATTAAGTACCTGGGGATTCGAATACCTAAAGATCTATCCAAGATCTATGAAAGCAACTATGGTCCCATAAATAAAAACATCAAGTCAGATATTGACAGATGGTCTCAGCTGCCTTTAGATATGCACAATAGGATAGAAACAATAAAAATGAACCTACTTCCTCGACTCTTATATCTTTTTCAATCCCTGCCAGTAATGGTTACACCAATGCAATTTAACGAATGGGATAAGTGGATCTCAAGATTCACATGGGGGGGTAGAAGGCCAAGGATTCAATTCAAAACATTGCAACTCCCTAAAGAGAAAGGGGGTAGATCATTACCATGCTTAGCAGACTACTATAAGGCAGCGCAATTAAGACCACTGGCTTGCTGCTGTAACCCAAATTATACAGCAAAATGGAAGGATTTGGAAACTTCACAATTAGATATACCGTTACAATCTATATTGGGTAGTAAAACACTGTATGAGCAGCATTCTAGTAGCCTGAATCAATGGTCTAGAGTTTGCCTTCAAATTTGGTTTAAGGAATGTAAATCACCATTACTTGAAAGACAGTCTAAACTGCTAAGATGGGTTGCTTTTGACCCCGAATTCAAACCCACTAGGATTGACGGGAGGTTTAAACACTGGTATAGAAGGGGAATCACTTCTTACTGCTCAATTTCATCGAAGGGAGAATTTGATAGTTTTCAGAAAATTTCGGATACATATGGGTTAGAAAAACTGGATTTTTTTAGGTATCTTCAAACCAGGACTGATTTTAATGATGAGATAAAACCAACAGAGGAATGTGAGACTAACCTAATTGACATGTACAAAAATAAGGACAATAAGAAACTTGTTTCAACACTGTACTCCCATATTCGATCTAATAAGAAACACTCAACAGATAAGGTTAGATTAAAATGGGAGAAAGAATCTGGAACTATCATCACAGAGGAAGAATGGTTGAATATGTGCTCTGTGCAGTCAACTTCCACTAGTTCTGGTCTTTGGAGAGATTTTTGCTGGCGGAATCTGGTCAGGTATTTTATAACTCCTAAGTTAAATAGTGTGCAGACAGGGGAGACGGTCAGAGGTCTATGTTGGAGGAACTGTGGAGAACAGCTAGCAGACCATTTTCATATATTTTGGTGCTGCCCAGCTATTCAGCCATACTGGCAAGAGATTATACGAGTAATACAAAATATTTTTGGTGACGAAATTTACTGCTCTTTCTCTACAATCTATTTGGGCAATATTGCACCTCATTTACTGATGCAAGACAAATATCTTTTGAAAATATTATTAGCAGCCAGCAAGAAAGCTGTAACCCGAAAATGGCTGCAGGCGACACTTCCAACAGAGACAGACTGGATAGATATTGTGACTAATATTCAAAATATGGAAAGGATGACCTTTTCGCTAAGTCTACAGATGGATAAGTATTTGAAATACTGGGAAAAATGGATTATGTTTGTGACCACAAGAGATGATAACTGAGCCATTACTGTATGAACTGACTTGTATCTCCATCGTATAATATATGTATGAATGTGTTGGTGACCAAATGTTTGTTCTATGGTTTGTTTTTGTTTTCTATGCTGTATGTTATGTTTGTTCTTTCTATAAAAATAAAGTACAAAAAAAAAAGAAAAAAGAAAATGAAGTTGTTCTGAATCCATTGGTACCAAGCATTTGATATAATTCCATGTAGATTTTGAGATACAGACATTTCTGTATCATACTGTATTTAGTCACTAGTCACTCATTTTAGCCCACAGGAATACAATATAATATGTCTATAAGCTCTGCACAGTGTTAAAAAACTTGCACTGTAGCCTCATTCTTTGACCAATTTGAAAAATTTCAATGGACTTGTACTGAGTTTAGTTAGTACTTTATATGCTGTAAAGGAAATTATAAAATTCCATTGTGGACATTAATGGTTTAAAGAAAAGTATATATTTTCGTTTTACACCAAATGCAAATTAACTAACTTTCCTAAAATAATAATAATCTTTGTTTTTTTCCCCTCAGATGACATGTACTACATCACTAGTAAAGTTTTGAGAAGAAACAAGTTAACAATTTGCTATGATAGTTGTTTCTTAAAGTAGTTTATTCTTGGGGTCCCCAGGGACCCCAGTCAGTAGTCCATGTATATAAAATATGTCGGTAGGATGAGGGTTAAATGGTATACATGCACTGAATAAATGGATTATTGGGCAAAAACCAAGGAGTGTCTGATTTTTCATAATCTGATAATGCCTGTTATCTGATAAAACATACTGCATTATGCTGTTTACACGACTTTATTCAGTTAACTCCAGAAATCAGATAATGATCAGTTTATTAGTGTGCATGTAAATGGGCTCACTGTGATCACTGTCAGAATATAGAGCTATTTAACACTTTCATTAACAAATACATAACAGAGTATCTTTAACTACAACTGTAAGGTGACTACACTAATAGAAACAAACGATGGTATACTGGATGAAAAACTTACCTTTAAATGTGTTAATAAATCTTCCTTCTAGGAAGGGTTTGTCTTCTCCACGAATAATGTGCTCCACAGCATCCTTATCAGGAGTCTTTCTCCTCCTCCTCTCAGTCATCTTTGCTGTAATAATGCCCAGACATTACAAGCTTTAATAAATGTCATGTCACATGGCTGTCCTTTGAACACTGAAACTGTTAAGTTAAGCTATATTTCATGCCAAATCACATCAGATATTCTGTGTCAATATTCAACAGGGGTGCAACGGATCACAAAACTCAGTTTGGATCATATCAAGGTTTACTGTGGATTTATTTTTACACATAATCTTACATAACTCCGCTTTCACCTGCCTTAAATGCAAAATATCTCCACACAGACATGGCGAGTGGTGCTGCCGTTGTTGACAAGACAAAGCTCCCATTTTGACGTATTAAACGGTATTAAACTGTTATAATAAACGTTTACCTGGCCGGCGAGTCGGTGACGCACGTCTATGTTAGCCATTTAACTATTATCAATTAGCCGATAGCCACATTAGTAGTCCGTTACGTTTATATATCTATCTCTTACGTTATCGATGAGCTAACGGCTAGTAGCTAACGCTAATAATAAAAGGCGTTCTTTTGAAGTATTAAATGGTATTAACCCCATGGGCCCTAGGCGTTTTTGGGGTATTTTTACTGCCTTTACTTTTAAGCTCATATCACAGTCATTATAAAGGCTACATACACATGCTATATCTTGTTTTTTTTTCAGGACAATGTGGGCTATCCAGATTTGCCATTATTTCATGTCCTTCTATGTGCCTGTAATTTTTATATCAATGAAAAAAACAAATCTGTGTGACTAAATTCTTAAATTTTTCTATGCATCTCACCATAGCAAGTTGGAAGTAGACATATTCTGCCACATCTGAAGAAGGGAGACTCTCTGGAATCTGGCAATATAAGAACCATGATGCTGGGACATTCTGTCACTTCACAGTTGTCCAAAACATGTGGTTTGTGCCAGGCGGACATGATTGACAGGATTTTTTCATTATTGCAAGAAATTCCATTGACTCATTCACAAGTCAAAAATGTGTTTTATCTGAAAGAAACATGCAATATTTACATCTAAGATCATAGAAAAATAGTCAACCAAGTGCAATGATGTCCTCCAAGATAATATTTGCCACTTTGTTTCCAGTAAACAAAGTTTGTTGTTGTTTCTCAGTTTCAGTTATATATTGGGGGCATTTTGGGCATTGGGGGACACACATGTCCCCCCTCAATGTGTATGGTGTCTACGGCCCTGTCATGCATGCATAATTAGGCTACAGTTGTCTGGGTGCACAAAGGTGAAGTGGCTGGTCTTGTCATACAAAGTTTGATGGAGTGTCAACTGGACAATATGGAGATATTTGCATCTTGAAAGCTGGACTACAAATGTGGATAGACAGGGAGAAACACACGCAAGCCTAAGACGTGGTAAGATACGATATTCCTCACTATATGAAGTGACTGATAACAAGATCTGTATAATGGATTGTAAAGAAATTCGTCAGGATTTTATTTTGAAGACAATTGATCTGGATTTATAGTGTGATGGGATCACAGCACAATGATGTGTGTGGTATCATAGGAAAGCTCTGCTTGTGCACTTTCATGTGATATGCGTGGCATTTCTGTGCGAGCCTGCATTCGCAAGTAATCCATCCAAGAGTAATGTGTGTGCAGAGCTGTATGATAGCTCTGTTAGACATAATTTTAGTGTAACTTTATCATTGTTTTTCGCTGTGAAAACATTGGACTACCGACAAGTTCTTGGTCTTGTCGGAAAGCTACAGTTCTGCTGTTTCATGTGATATGCGTGGCTTCTTGCTATGATGAACGGTCGCGGAGAAAATCAATAGAGAAGAACAGGTGTGAATTCGGACGCACTATGCTCGTTCGGGCCCACTATTATAATAAACGTTTACCTGGCCGGCGAGTCGGTGACGCACGTCTACGTTAGCCGTTTAACTGTTATCAATTAGCCGATAGCCACACTAGTAGTCCGTTACGTTTATATATCTATGTGTTACGTTATCTATGAGCTAACGGCTAGCAGCTAACGCTAATAATAAAAGGCGTTCTTCTTCGGCTCTTTGCAGCTAATTTTGCCTCGCCGTTCGCGTGTGTGATACGTTGCACCACTATTTTTTAAAGTAAAATATCAAACAGTGTTAGTCTTACCTGCTCATTTGTTGGTTTCCGTCCAAAATGCCTGTTTATGAAGCCTGTTTCACCGGCAGCCATAGATTTCCGGTACTGAGCGGACATCTGCTGATTGACATCGGCTGCATCCAATTACAGATCAGATCTGCCTGATTGACATCGGCTGCAGCCAATCACTGACCAGGGATGTTCAGCCAATGAACTGCGCTCATTGTGTGTGTGAGTGGCGGGATTTTGTGTAAAGCTGGCATTGATTTGGCGCGTAATTGGCGAGACACACACACACACAAAATGTCAGATTTATGGACTTATGGGGACACTTCGAGAAAAAGCGGGAGCAGCTAAATGGCAGCCTCCTGAGTGCTTCTACAGTGTTTGAATTATGGGGACACTGGAACTGTCCTCATAATACTGTGGTGTCCTGATAATGCTGGTATGTAAACCGATAAAAAGTCCTCATAATCCGGAGAAACCAACACACACACACACACACACACACACACACACACACACACACAATCTCCTGCTTTGGTCTGATTAGTGGCCGGAACAATTACTGTAATCGTGTCATCTCAACAAAGGAGCAGATAAGGAGTCAGACCATCCCCTCCATCCCTCCGCCCTTATCACTCACATCACCACACCCGCAAACACACACACACACACACACACACCAGAGCAAAAGTAATACAGAACAAAACATTTTTACAACTTGGATCTAGCCAGTTTGAGGGTGTAGTTAACTGCTCCATGTGTTTCCTTCCTGGGTGTTTCTCCCTGTTGACCTCTGACCTCTCATTTGAAATGTATTTACTGTACGTATCTGTGTGAGGGAGATAACAAGAGGCTAATTCCTCATTACCCTGAGCGAAAGATGCTGATTGAAATTGAATAATATAAACAGTAGGAGTGTTCTTAATATTCTTCAAAGCCTCTGCCCTTTGCTCAGGAAAACCCCTCGGGAGTCTTAATCACTCTAAGCTCTCCAGGTTTCCTTCGATTGTGGGGTGCAAACATTTACTTTGAATTAACCAGCCTGAAAGAAAGTAAACAGATCTGTGGGGCATAACTTAATTTTTTTTTTTTTAAATCTAGTCACTTACAATGTGTCACGGTGAAAGCTGTGACATCCTTCTCTCCTCCGCACTGTGCCCCTCACGTCTTCTGTTTAAACCTGCTATTTCCAGTTCTCCTACGTATAAGAGAAGTGGTGCAATTCACTAATCGTTTGACATTTCCTTATTCACTTCCAGTCATCACTTGCGTAGCAATGTACGTCACGAGTGGCCATGTGCAGAGCATAGGGTAGGGGAGCAGAGGATTAAAATCAAATATGCTTGCCTATAAGCAGGCCTATTATGTGAGAATCATAAATGATTAAAAACCACCAGATGGGAAAGGTTTTTTTTAATAACTTCTTTAACACTCATTGTTTTACCTACACTTTCATCACTTGATTTTCCATTGGGCATTGTGCACAGGAAATAGTGAGAGATCACAATGCATTCTGTGTAATGTGCCCTAAGGTGTATATCACTCACTCCCACAGCCCTGATGAGTGTCACTGATGGCCATTTGACTCTTCAGATACTGAAACATCAGACTGCAATGTGGTTTGCCATCACCTGTCCACTAATCGCCCCCAGCAATATTCCCACTCTGCCAGCCACCTGATCCCACCTCCTGCCCGCTCACCTGTTCCCCATGAGCCATTCTGGGCCCCATTTCAGGGGCTGGATGATGAGAAATTTGCATGATACATAATAATGAAGAGACAAGGGCTAACCCACGGGCTCTTCCAAATGTGGTAGCAACAACAGTCTTCTTTTTGTTAGAATTTGGAAAACACAACCAATGTACCCTTCCATCCTTTTAACGCCCAGTGTGTAGGGTTTAGGCAGATATATTGGCAGAAATGTAACATCATATAATAAATATGTTCTCCTTAGTGTATAATCACCTGAAAAGAAAAATTGTTGCACTGTCATTACCTTAGTATAAACCACTTACATAGGGATCGTGTCCTCATCCATGGAGTCCGCCATTTTGCACCACCATGCTTCTGAAGTAGCCCAGACCAAAACCAAACACAGGCTCTCAATAGGGTCATTTGTCGTTTCACATTTGCATCTGTTCACATCGGCCACCGTAGCTCTCCTACACATTTGGCACACAGGAGATATTTCAGTTGACTGCAATCAACAACCTCAGCTGCCAGATGGCACTAAATCCTACACATTGGACCTTAAAGGAGTATTTAAGCGATCCTCATCAGCATGTTAAGATGGGAAATATCTTCTGACCATGTTCTATAGCCTAACCAATGTCTTACATTTAGGTAGTTTTGTTGTATATATACATTGCATGAATTGGAACAATGAAACCTGCAGGGTGTAAATAATTGAAACAGGCATAAACTCTGTACTGGTTATTTATTAATAGCATAAACATGTTGTTTATCACAGGCTGTTGCAGAAGTTACTCACATGCAATGTACACCGATCAGCCAAAACATTAAAACTACTGGTGGGTGAAGTGAATAACGTTGATCATCTTGTTACAGTGCAATATTCCATTGGGAAACCTTGGGTCCTGGCATTCATGTAGGTGCTACCTGATGCGCTCCACCTACCCAAACACCATTGCAGACCAAGTAACCCCCTTATGGCAATGATTCTTGTCGATGGCAGTGCCCCCCTCAGCAGGACAGTGCACCATGCCACACCACAAAAACTACTCAGGAATGACCAAAGGAATTGGACAAAGAGCTCAAGGTGTTGACCTGGCCTCCAAATACCCCTGATCCCAAATTGACTGAATATTTGAGGGACGTGCTGGTACCCCAGAGGTACCCCCAATCCACAGTGGGTCCTCCTTGGACCGGACTTGGCTCTGACCTGTCAAGGCATGAACACAGGACCTCTGGGGGGTGTCCTATAGTGTCTGGCACCAACACGTTGGCTTCAGATCTTTTGGGTCCTGTAGGTTGTGAGGTGGGGAAACAGCACGTTCCACAGATGTTTGATCAAACTGGGATTTGGGGAATTTGGAGGCCAGTTCAATGCCTTGAGGTCTCTGTCATGTTCCTTGGGCCACTCCTGAACAGTTTTTGTGGTGTGGCATGGTGCATTGTCCTGTTGGGGGGGAGCACTGCTACTGAGGAGTGCCATTGTCATGAGGGGGGTGCCTGGTCTGCACTGGTGTTTAGGTGGGTGGAGCATGTCTAATGGCAACCACATGAATGTCAGAACCCAAAGTTTTCCAACAGCACGGCACCTGTCAGTGGTTTTAATGTTTTGGCTGATCGGTGTATGTCACTTGTCCATCATATTACATCATTGCTGCTTTACAGGTGCTGGTAGGTTTGTTTTGTTACTTAAAGAAGAAACCTGGCTAGCCGATTTCCCATATTTGAAGTCTTTATGCTAAGCTAAGCTAAGCTAAGCAGTTGCTAGCGCATGGTATATATTTAGCACACAGGT